AAATTTGAAAAAGTGCAAAAAAATAATGTAGAGTAAATACTGACTAAAGACTTTAGCACACTATAAGGCTTTGGAGGGCCCAAGAGTGCAGCGTTTAGACAAATAAAAATACAAAAGTCTTCTGGCTCGGGAGCTATGCTCCCTCGCAGAATATTCTTCAAAATGTACAAGTGAAGTGTGAAAAAAAGTGATGAAGTGCGAAAAAAGTACATTGTTTGTTTTTATACTATAATTTTGCTAAGGAATATAATTTTATAATACAACAAAACTTCAAAAACTGTGAGGGAGTAGTCACTTTCGTCTCCTTCATCCCTCTTATTCACTATGCTCACTCACTCGGACAACAAAACTTCAAAAACTGTGAGGGAGTAGTCACTTTCGTCTCCTTCATCCCTCTCATTCACTATGCTCACTCACTCGGGCTTTGGGCAGTCCACCCCCCCCCCTCCCGATAAAATTCAAAACGTGGTTTATTTCTAATTCGTTACCAGTGACTAATTTACAAATGCTGTTGAAATGGCCTATTTCCCTGAGCTTCCGGTGGCTCTGTCCCCTGTACCCCACCAAGGTCCCTAAGGCAGGCCCCTGGTTGCTCAGCTGACCATAATCAAATGCCTAAATCACCTGAGCTTCCGGGGGCTCCGCCCCCTGGACCCCAACAGGGCCCTACACGGACCTCTGGATGCACATATGACCATATTCAAAAGCCTGAAACCATGAGCTTCCGAGGGCTCCACCCCTAGACCCCACCAAGGGCCCTAAGGCGCCCCCTGGATGCTCATCTGATCGTAATTTAAGGCCTAAAACCGCTGAGCTTCTGGGGCTTCACCCCCTGGACCCCACTTTGATTAGTGACCTGCATGCATGTGTCACAAACAAGGTATCAAAATATGCTCATCTGACCCTTATTAAATGCCTAAAAAACTCTGAGCTTCACGGGGCTCCGCCCTTGACCCCCGCCGGGGCTTTGCCCGTGGACCCCACGCCAATTTACGCCCCCACCTGCTTTGCATGCTGTATCTGATCGCAAATACTTAAGCCCCCCCTAACTCCCATTTTGAAAAACGTTCCGCGGGGCCTGCATGTAACATGTAAGTGCGGTGATGATGCGGATTTTTTTTTTCCCCCCCCCCCAAAAAAGAAGATTTTGCTCATAACGTCACTCCTCCCCTGTTCCTCGCATTTCGTCCCCCCGGTCATGAAAAGAAATCGCCGCCCCTGATCACCGCTCTTACATGTTACATGCAGGCCCCGCGGAACGTTTTTCAAAGTGGGAGTGAGGGGGGGGGGGGGTGGGTTAAGTATTTGCGATCAGATATAGATTTTTTTGCACTTTTTCAAATTTTCGGGGGGGGGGGGATCCCCCCTACAAAAATCGAGGGGGTGGGGGGACGTGTCCCCCGTCCCCCCCCCCCCCCCGGGATCGCCGCCCCTGCAATTGATGGTATGGAGTCGGTTTGAAAAATAATACGACAAACATGTGACTAGACAATACACAATGTCCTCTATTGAAGCAGGGGTCAAAGAAACTGAAAATTTCAAGCATTATCAACTGTCTAAATATATTTTCTATTTTCTATCTTCTACCAGCCTTATTTGATTGTTCGAGATCCAACATGAGCGTGTCACCGACTGTCCTGTGCGACGGGATTTACCACTGCGATCACTTCGAGGACGAATTAGCATGCAGTAAGTCAAAGCAAAACTGATGATATATTCTCTATGTGCAAAACATATTTTCCCCTTATTACATTTTCTTAATGCCTTCACGATTACTTTAATGCGATTATTGTTTTTATATTTCATTTGGTTAGCAATTGACTTGCCAATTCGTTTCTATAATAGGCAAGTCATGAAAAATATGTAGAAATTAGGGTGTAGGAGTTCAAATTTCTTCTAATATTAATCAGAACCAAAAGAGGTTTTCCATAGGTTCGGAAGTATGGGGTGCTTTAGGAATGAATGTCGCACAGACTTCTAATGAAAACCTTTAGTTAGTGCATGAGTTGCGCTTATTTGATTGTTCGAGATCCAACATGAGCGTGTCACCGACTGTCCTGTGCGATGGGATTTACCACTGCGATCACTTCGAGGACGAATTAGCATGCAGTAAGTCAAAGCAAAACTGATGATATATTCTCTATGTGCTAAACATATTTTCCCCTTATTACATTTTCTTAATGCCTTTACGATTACTTTAATGCGATTATTGTTTTTATATTTCATTTGGTTAGCAATTGACTTGCCAATTCGTTTCTATAATAGGCAAGTCATGAAAAATATGTAGAAAATTAGGGTGTAGGAGTTCAAATTTCTTCTAATATTAATCAGAACCAAAAGAGGTTTTCCATAGGTTCGGAAGTATGGGGTGCTTTAGGAGTGAATGTCGCACAGACTTCTAATGAACACCGTTAGTTAGTGCATGAGTTGCGCTAAATTCGGTTTGAGGACGTAAACTCGTAGTGACGTTTTTTCATTACATAATCAAGCGTCCAATATTGTAAAAAATGAAAATGACCTTGAAAAATGTAAAGTAAGGAAAAGAAAGAAAGAAATGAGAAGAGAAGAAAAACGGAGAAAAAAGAAAAAGAGGGAGGGGAGGAAAGAAAGGAAAAGAAAGAAAAGAAAGAAAAGGAAAAAGAAGAAAAAAGAGAAAAGGGGGAAAAAAGGGGGTGAAAGAGAGGAGAGAGGAGAGAGGGGGAGGTAAGAGCCTGAAAGAGGAGGAGTGGGAGTAAAAGAGAGAGGGGGTTGTTGGGTGGAGTCGTCTCGTCGAGGGAGCAAGAAAGACACGGGTAAATATGTTGCTGTGTCGGGTCAGCTGTGTCGGTTTTTGCTCGATCCTCGTGTACTATATCAATGCAGAAGTTTAAAATTGGTGAGATGTATATTGTTGGTCGGCCGACAAGTTTGTTCCCCTACGAACTGTGACTTTTTATCCGCTGTGACGACTTCGCGACTAACTACAACTACAATACTTGTATTTTCTCGAAGTTTCACTTTCCTTTAAACTCAGTTAAAACAATCAGAGGTTTAACATTATCGGGGAAACTAAATTCAAACAAGGATTAAGAGTCAACAACGGTACGACAATCGTCTTCCTTTCTCTTTATTTTGATGAAACTCCAAAAATTCCGCGCTTCGCGCAGGGGCGGGGGCGGAAACTTCATTTAAACGAGTCGAGAACGGTACAACGAATCATTTGCTTTCTCTCATACTTTTAGGAAACGTCAAAGCTTTTGCGCTTCGCGCAGAGGAGGGAAACTGAATTCAGACATTTTAGGGTTAAGAGTGGCGAACGATGCAACGAATCGTCTACTTTTTCTAATAATTAAAGTAAACGTCGGAGCTTCCGCGCTTCGGGGGAGAGGGAAAAACTGAATTCAGAACAATTAGGGCTTATTAAGAGTCGGAAACGGTACAACGAACCGTCTGCTTTCTCTAGTAATTTAAGGAAACGTCTAAGCTTTTCGCGCTTCGCGCGGGAAGGGGGAAACTAAATTTAGAAAAGGATTAAAAGTCGAAAACGGTACAACGAATC